TTTGATCAATTTCAGATTGAAGAAGTTGGTAGAATTCTATTTCATCCTCACTGGCTTTCGGCATTGGTGCATAAATTTGAATAACAGTGGTATTAACTAGTCTTCCCTGTAGGCACATGGATATTATCCTATCACATTGAATCTCATGACGATGAATGCAACACTATTCCTCTTCAATTTTTCATTCCCGGCATAGTAAACTACGTGGTTGTCAGATTCAAAATGGCCAATATCAGTCCATTTCAGCTTACTAATGCCTAAGATATCAATGTTTATGCATTCCATTTCATTTTTGACAATTTCTAATTTTCCAAGTTTCATACTTTGTACATTCCATGTTCTGATTTTCAATGGATGTTACAGCTGTTTCTCTTCATTTTGAGTTGTGCCCCATCAGCAAATGAAGGTCCCGCAGGCTTTATTCCCATGGGCTTTACGCCATTCGTATTATCACAGTCAACTCTACTTTGAGGAGGCAGCTCTTCCCCAATCGCATTTTGAGTGCCTTTCAACCTGAGGGGCTCATTTTCTGGCACTATATGTGATAGTGTTTCTCTGCTATTCATAAGGTTGCCAGTGACTAAATATTTAGGAGTAGTTCATCTCTCCTTCTTTCTAGTCTCTTCTGTCAGTTTGTCGTACTGTGGTGGCTTGTGAGTTGCTGTTATTCTGGAAGCTACGCCACGGGTATTTTAAAAAGCAGCAGGGTCCCCCAAGGTGGACAGGTTTTCAGATGAGCTTTGAGATGAAGACAGACTAGGAAGACTGAAAGATGAACTACTTCCAAATATTTCGTCACTGAAAACCTTATGAATAACCTAATGCCTATCAACAGAGTAACGGTTAAACACATATTGGTGCATACACATAATGGAATTCTAGGCTATGTTGAAGAATAGTAGTGAACTGTAAACATAGATGAACCTGGAGGACATTATGCTGAGGGAAATCAGTCAATCACTAAAGGACAAATAGTGTATGAAACCACTGTTGTAAAAAATTAAGAAAAGGTGTTCTTGTTAAAAAAAAAAAAAATCTATAATGGTTATGAGGGAGGTTGAAATTATTCACGGGTTAAAGGATGTTGTCGTTGTTAAGTACTATGTAGTTGATTCTGACTCATAGCAATCCTGTATAGGATTTCCAAGGAGTGGCTAGTGAATTTGAACCATCAACTTTGTAGTTCAAACTAGAGGGTAGACACATGTTAACATGGGTAATGGGGTAGCCAATATACAATGAAAGAGTGATTGACAGAGGAAAGATGAAGGTAGTGGGAGACACAGGGAGGAATGCAAAAGTTAAAATGAATAGAGGTAAATACTGTCAACTGTTGGTACATGAAGGAGATTTCAATCATTGTAGCAAAGCAGAGTAAATGATTTGTTGAATGTAAAACTGATAATCTGCTCTGCTAACCTTCAGTCAATTCAAAATAAAAGGTTTTTGTTTGTTTGTTTAAAAGAAAGAAAATTCTATGGAGTAATTCAACTCTTTAACACTTGGGATCTCTATTAGTTGAATCTTGTCAAAGGAGGTGGAAGAGGGACTTCTAAGCATAATGCAGGTATTGGGGACTGAGTTTCCTTACATTACTCCTAAGGAGCACACTCTCTTTGCATCTCTTTCTCTCCTCTTACATGTGTCATCGTAGGAGAAGCACTGGACTACTAGCCACAAGGTCATCGGTTCAAACCCATCAGCTGCTCCTCAGAAAACTTATTCAGAGTCACTTTGAGTCGGCACCAACTAGACAGTGCTTAGCAACAACAAAGAGAACAAATACAGAACCATCAAGAGAAAATCAGAATAGACATCTATCAATTGTTCCAATAAAAACAAACAGTACCAGAGGTTGTTGTGGTTAAAGTGCCTTCCAATTGGTTCTGACTCATAGTGACCCTGCATAGGATTTCTGAGGAGCAGCTGGTGAGTTTAAACCTCCAACCTTGAGGTTCAAACCAACCTTCAGGTCCAGTGCTTGTCCTATGGCCCCACACCAGGACTCAGTACAGAGGTTGGAGCCTTGAAAGCCTCCCAGAAAGATGTCAGCAAAACTTGTTTGGCAACAACTGGGTGGTCATTCAGCCATTCTGAGGTCAGTTTGCCCATCTATAAAATGAAGTCCTGAAATGAATTACTCCTCAAATCCTTCCAGTCTTAAGCTGCTACTTTTCCAAGACCCTAGTCTTTCATGTGGAGACTTCGTGTGGTGCTGTAGGATAAGCACTGGACTGCTAACCACAAGGTCGGCAGTTCAAACCCACCAGCTGCTCCTTGGAAACCCTATACAATGTCGCTGTGAGTTGGAACCGACTTGAGGGCACTTAACAACAACAGTGTTTCAATTACTAGCACCCTGTAAGGTTAAGAAGCCACCTTGTGCCAGTGTCTTTCTCCACAAACGCCCTCCTGCTGTCCTGATGACTTGGGTGAATTCCAAGTGTCTCCACGATACACAAATATACAAGCTTTTTCCTAAGCAGGAGTTTCCTTTACAAACCAAGACAATAGGGGGAAATCTCCTTTAAGAGGAGGCAGAGGCTAAGTGGGAGTTTTTGTTGCTGTAGGGAACAGGGTAAGGATAGAGACAATAAACTTAGATAAAGAGCCTAAAAAGTTAGGGAAACGTTTGCCTTTCCTGTAAGAAGTCAATACTGGCTCCTTAGAGTTTTGTGGGAAGTTCCCCCTCCCCACCGCCAGCACCTGCTTTCCAGCCCTGCTACAGGACTATCTTTCGGGGCCTGCTGCCGTTAAGTAGCAAGGTGAAACAAGCCCAGACACAAAAAGACCTGGTCGCTGACTGTTCAAACCTACGCAGGAGAGCACTGCCCTCTAGCGACCAAAATGGACAATTCAGCGAAACCGGCGCTTAGAATGCGTCCTGGAACTCCACGGGGTCTCCACTAAGAAATATAGGGCTGTTCTTTGCTTTACTGTCCTGGGACTCCTTCTGTTTGTCGTCTCCCTCTAGGGTCAAAGAGAGTTCGATACTTAGATGGATGGATAATTGATAATAGCGAATGACAGGTGAAAAGATGGATGGGTGAAAAAATGGTTAGAAGCACATTTTGAGGGCATGCTGTGGAGTCCTGCTGTGGAGTCCTGCTGTGACGCTGTGGGCTAATGCGTCAGACTGCAAAGTCGTTTGAACTGCAAGGTCTGTGCTTCAAGCTTACCAGCTCCTCCTTGGAACATGGGGTCGGAATCGACTAGACGGCACTTAACAACAACATGGTGACAGGAACAAGTCTAAGTACTTTTGTCCCTTATTTCATTTTACTCTATCAGGAACCCTAGGAACCCCGTACTATGTCAGTCCCTATTGGAACACAGTCCTTAGAGGAAATTAGCAATTTGCCAAGATTTCCAAGCCAGGAAGGAGCCCAATCCGTCTCAACCTCAGCCGTAGGCTCTTTGTCGCCTACCTGAGGTGCGGCGCGTCCCGAGCAAAGAGTCCTTCATCCATGGCCGCCACACTGCTGGTGCGCTGACGTCTCCACTGCCCTGACGCCTGCTCACTCATCAGACACCACAGGACACCTCACCGTCTCAGCAGGCCAAGAGGGTCTGGAGTTCCCCCTGAGGAGCGGGATAACGGCCCCCTCCCACGCTGGTTGAATGGGGCACCTGGGACTCTGAGGCTACCTTTACCCCTTTACCAGCTGTCACACTTGGTCAGGGATTTCACTAAAGAGGAAAAGGAAGCATGTGTTCTGAGATTCTGAGACTTTTAGAAAGTTCCAATCATTTACTGAGGTCTGGTGTGGCGCTCTAGGATAATCACGGGACTGCCAACCAAAAGGTACGCGGTTCAAACCCACCAGCCATTCCTTGGACATTCTATAAAGGGTCGCTGTGAGTCGAACTGATTCAATGGGACTTAACAACAATAACTATGTGCAATTAAATGCTGCACGAAAGAACTTAAGTCAAGGGAGGGAGACAGGCAGTAGATACATGATGACATTCCGGACAGCTGTACTTACTACCAACAGGGAACAGGGAGGGCACCCCTAGAACAAGATTCACCTGATCTGAGGGTCTCCAGCATATTTCAGAAGTCTAAACCAATCCTCCGGTCCTTTTAACAGGCCCTGGGGTCCCCTTCCTGGAGCCCACACCCCCATGGTGCCTTTGGGCAGATCTGGATCAAGCCCCCAACTATCCTTAAATCTAATGGTTCGAGGCTCCCAGTAGGAAAACCTGTTACCTATCGTGGTGTCAGCCCCCGGGCTCCACCCCCACCCGTCCAAAGCCAGGGACAGCTCTGCCGACGGTCCCCCTCTGCGAGGGCGTCGGCGCGGGCTGGCGTAGGGCCTGCGTCACCGCAGCTCTCAGGCGATTGGGGCGCACCACCTCCTTAGGTTTGCGGCTAATTATAAAGTGGCCAAGCAGCCGCCAGGCACCAACCGCCAGGCAAGCGAGAGAAGTAGCTCCCGGAGCCCGACACCAGCAAGTCCTGCGGCCAGGTGAGGCCCGCGCCCTCTGTCCAGCCCGCTGCCCGCGCGTCCGCCTTACCCGTGCGCTCTTGTCCCCTCCCCCTCCAGCGCGGTTCCCGGGACTGGTGTTACTGACTAGCGCTACTGCATCCGAAGAACCAAAGTGTGAGTGAACTTAACTAAAGCTCTCATGTTTGGGGACACCTCGACTGCTCGATTTTACTTTGCATGTCATTGCATGGATTGCCCGACTTTCTCGCTTGGTCCTTGTTTGTGGCTCTGGCCAATGTCGACCCTCTTGCGCGATAGCTAACCTCAGTCGCCACCTCTCTTAGTTGGTTCTGGGCCTCTGCGGGCTCTCCATCCAGGGGCTCTCCGTTTAGGGACCCTTTAAAGGGTCCAGGGACCCTCCCTTTAAGAACCCGCTGTTGGCGGGAGGATCTCTTCGGACTCTCCTGATTGAAGCCCCCGCTAGGGCTTCTTTGCCTAGGGCGCTTTCCGAAGACTCGCTCTGCGGGCGAGCAGGTTCGGAGCGTGAGCCCCTTTTCCTTGCAGCTCATGGCGCGGCTTCTGAAACTCTGCACTTGGCTGCTGGCGTTCAGCCCCGGGATCCTGGCGAGTGTGCGGGCGGAATGCAGCCAGGACTGCTCATCTTGCAGCTACCGCCTGGCTCGCCCGGCGGACATCAGCCCCCTGGTGAGTATTAGGCGCCGTAGTGGAAAGAGTTTTGTCTGGTCCTCTGATAACAACAGCCTGATGCGCCTTGCGTCTCCAGGTCATACTAGGTCCGTATCACGGTAAAAACCCAGGCGTCTTAGCTGTTACCAGAACGTTGACCGAAGTCCCGTCCTGGGTCTCAGTTTCAGGGACCCAAGACTATCTAGGGAAGGGTCTGGGCGGCCGTATCTCCAAGCCAATTATATTTATTTTAACCCCAGGGTGCCTGGGGACTCGCTGTCTTCATACCTAGAAGAGCACTGAGTGGGTTCCTCCGAAAATGCACAGTCACCCCAACTCCCCACATACCCCTGCTAAGGTCCCCATTCCCACACCACCATCCTTTCGGCCTTCCCTAAAACTCACCCACAGGAAATCTGTCGATAACAATGCCATTTTTAATTTGTAGCCTTTCTTAGAAATTCCCATCTCTAGCACTTTACTCCAAGGTCCCCCAAACCCTTACCAATGACTAGGATCCAGAAAGGCTTAAGGGGAGAGGAAGGTGAGAGCTCTGGAGACCGCGACAAAAAGAGATCTTACAGGCAAGAGCCATGATAGAATTTAACTTGTCCTTTTTTTTTTACTGTACTTTTGTTGTTAAGTGCCATCGTGTTGGTTCCGACCCATAGCGACCCTGTATCGGGTTTCCTAGAGCGGCTGCTGAGCTTGAACTGGCCACCTTGATGTTCAAACAGACTTTGCAGATTAGCGCACTAACCCACAGCACCACACCAGCAATTTTAATTGAAAAACAGTAAAAGTCACAGGAGAGGAGTGATGGCCAGTTGAAGAGGTGCCAACAGTATAAAGGGTTTAGGAAGGAAAGCAGATGACAAAAGAACTCTCCTTCTAATGATAGCACACTTACTGTTGAATCTGGTCCTGAAGACTCTGAAGCAGAATCTCCAGGTTCAGGACCCAAGAACCTTCATTTTAACTACCTCCCCAAATGATTCCTTTTGCACTGAATTCACAATTTGATAAACTTTTGTGATGACTTAAAAAGTCAATAAAGAGAAATATATTAATTCAAGTAGTTAGACTTACTTAAGCCTTTGATGACATTTTATGTGTGTAATTGCAGTCATTGAGTGGAGAAAAACGTTAAGGAAAGGATTCAAAAATAAAAATAAAATTCAAGGCATATATTTCTAATTGAATGTTTTGTTTCATTTGAATTACATGGATCCATTTCATTTCAGATTTCTTAGAGAGAAGATGCATAGTATAGCTTCATATATAAACTATGAGAAATATGTTCACCTTCCCCACTACCACATTGATTTTGATTTATGTTATTGTGTGTGCCTTGGAACCAGCTGGACTCATAGCAATCCTGCATAGGGTTATCCAGAGCAGCTAGTGAATTTGAACTACCGACCTTGTAGTTAGCAGTCCAGTGGCCCTTCTGACTCACAGTGACCCTGTAAATTTTTGTGGATGCAGACAGCCTCATATTTGTCCTCAGAGCAGCAAGTGGGTTTGAACCACCCACTTGAGGTTAACAGCCCAACACCACAGAATACTGGAAATAGTCCCCTTAGCCCACCTTTATTCTGTCATGCAGAAAGCTTTTACACCTTTTAAGTTTTTAAGCTTTTCCTAAAGAATTAGTGTGAACAGAAGAAGAGAAAGAAACCCAAAACATCCCCCACAGGAGACCCCACTTCTGATCCCCAAAACCCGTAGCCTAGCGACATACACTTGGAGATTCGCTTGTTCTACACAGGGGTCAACCCCTAGTCTAGCTTTTTCTGCAATACACACAAATATTAGCTGGGTTCTAGTAGAATTTTTTTAATCACACAAAATAGTGAGATTTACTTAAATTATGTTATTCTGATAAATGACTGACATTTGACAATACTTGTTCGATTTCAATCTTTTCATATTTAATCTGCTCTTGTCACCAAGCTTCCAAAATGCTTCTCATCTTATTCTCCCACCGAAGAGATATTTGGATAAAACTCATTTTGTGTCAGGCTTCCTTGGGTATCCTTTTAAAAAAAAACATGTGATTTCTCTCCTTTCTTTCTACACTCTTTCTTTCAGGGGGAAATGAACTTCTCTTTCCTCACTGTGTCTTATGTTGCTGTTGATAGTTTTTTACTATTGTTTTAATCCACAATGTATGACACCATTTAAAGGGAGAGAAAATCAGAGAGACAACAAGGAAACATTAATTTGAAAAAATAAAAGCAGTCCTTAAGAAGGCATTTTGAATATAACTGATGTGTTTTGTGTTGGAGTTTACAGTTAAGGTTGTTATTTTCTCTGGGACAAAATGCTTTGTTAATAGCTATGTTACTAGACAACTGCTCCACTCTGTACAGTGTCACTGTAAGTCGGGATCAACTCTATTACAATAGTTGCTTGTTTGGTTTTGAATGTTACTAGATAGCAATTTGGGTATTTTCGCTAAAATGTAAATGACATATTGTCAATGAAATTGCCTAGCCAAATTTGAATATTAGCAGAATCACAATAATTTGCTAATTTTCCACTTTGTACAAAGCATGTGTGCTTGGTTGTATGGAGGATGAGCAGGCCAAACTGAATTTGCCATCAAATAAAGAAAGTTACCTCTAATGTGATCTTGACCAGAGACACAGGGCTGATAAATACTGTAGTAGAGACCTACATGGCTATGTTGTTGTTGTTGAGTGCCATCGAGTCGGGTCCGACCCATAGCGACCCTGTACAGGGTTTCCGAGGGTGTAAATCTTTACGGGAGTAGAAAGCCTCATCTTTCTCC